AAAATATCCCAGGGAAAAAATATCCCACACATTCAAAACGTGTTAAAACTCGCTCAATTTAATTATTTTTTAATTTAATTATTTTTTTCGTTATCTATTTTTTCAGGGACTCTAATTTTCCTATGGTCTATCAAATTGGGTGGGTTTTAACACGTTTTGGGTGTGTGGGCTCCTTTTTCCGGGGATATTTTTTCCGCCTACCGTGAAAAATACTATTTCTTCACTTCAGAATTGGCATTCTTTTAATTTATTTACATTTTCTTATATAAAAAAATCGACTGTTATTGATGAAAGTATAATAATTTTAAATGAATTAAGACCCGAATGAATCATCTATCGAACACGACCTTCTGTTTAAATTCTATTTGGTTAGTTTAAAATACTAGCGTATATGGCGCGCTATGCGCGCCAAATCGTCCACGTATTGGGTGTTATCATTGGAATATATATATATATATATAGCCACGGTTATTTCCAATATATAATATATACATATAGCGAATTTCAAAAAGAAGAAAGAAAAAAGTCTAAAAATTTATATAAAAAATAATTTAAAATTAAATAAATTTAATAATTTAATTTAATTTTTTTTTATAAATTATATGAAATTTATATATTATATTATATAAATGTAGTAAAATATAATATAAAAATCAAAATATTAAATATCATTATATAAAAAAAAATTAATACATATAAAATTAATGTAATTTATATATATATATTATATATATTATTTATATATATATATATCATATTATATAGATATATTTTGATATGCATAGCGCCAAAAAAAGCTGACAAAAAACGTTACATGCTTTTTTTAAAAAAGGATTTCTCCAATTTTCTCTCATGATTATTTCAATGTTTACACTGAATTCGAAAATACGGGGTTTATGGATCTAGTTCGGTTGTTCCACTGACATTCTAATAGCCAACGCTGTATGAAAATCCAATGATACGAAAGTTATTTGTCCGGCACGCCTCGAAGTTTAGCACCGGTGAAAATTACCTGTCAGAGTATTTGTACATGAAGGGGTACCAACAAGGACGTAATTATCCAAGCGTATCAATTAAAAATTGACAGGATCGAAGTCTCCTTTCCCACTTTCGATAATTTCCCCTTTCCGAAATTTCCGGCAGGAGTCAATGTCCAGGAGAGCCCGTAATTTTTTCCACCAATAAATAAATAATCATAAGCGTAAAGCCAATGAGAAAACTTCTGAAGTCTGCGAATAGAAAATGGTGGGAAATCTGGAGGAAAGTTAAACTGCAGCAACTGGAGAATTAAAAATTGAAATATCAAAAAGTACTAAAACAATAAAAAATGAGAAAAGGTAAAAGCATTCAGAGTTAAGAAAAAAAATTTAAAATCTGTGTATTTATATAAAATAAAGAATAATAAATTAATAATAAATTAATAATTATTTTTAATTATTTTTTCCATTTACACATTGAACAACATATACTATAACAAATAATCATATTTATATTTCTGAATAAATAAATAAATAATGAAAAAATGAATGAAATAAATGTTGAGTGGAAAATGGGAAATTGAATAAAAGTAATTGATAACAAAAATATTTAAATTGTTAAAGTCGTCGGGTAAAAATTCACGTGATGCTAACGAGGCGGTGAGGATTTGATAAATCGAAGTGCGAGAGGACGACATCGGGGATTTAATCGTCTGAAGAAGGAGAAGGTCGAGAGGCCCTCGTATCCTCGACGAGAAATCAATTCTGCATGGGACAAGTGCCTCCTGAGAAAATCAACGAAAATGCCTCCGGCCATTCCAACTCCTTTATATCCTCGTAAATGTATTAACTCGAATGCTCCATCGTTTCTACCCTTTCATTTTCAATTATTATCGAATACTCATAGCCGATATTGAACGATATTGAATCGATTCTCCATCAGTTTCGAGATAAATCCATATGAGTCAATGATCCATCGTAATGCTCACGTTTTCTACAGTTCTCAGGACGATTCCTCCCTTCCTATCGGGTTGAGGTGATGTTGTTTATACTCGATTGAAAGTTTATTAATTAAGCTTCAAGAAAATATGTCAGTTTTCCGATTTACATGATTTTTCACGGAGTTATGACGTTTTGAACAAGAAAAAGCAGGTTTTCATGTTTTTCCGAAATTTAAGGTTTGGTTCAATTTTTCTGTATTTCCGATGTACATAAAGGGGACTTTTTATATACCATTTTGAAGGTCTCAATGAGCTCTTTACACTGCAGTTTGAATTTTTCAATTCCGTCAATTTAATCGAGAGATATATTCGATTGAAATATGAATTCGACTCCATGCAATCGATTGCAAAATTTTTTTTTTACTTTTTCAATTTTTCAGAATGATTATTAATTGATAATTATAATTATGAGTGAAGAAGATGAGAGCGGTGA